GTTAAAAATGGTAAAAAATAGCATGACGTACTTCATGGACTGCCCCTTTGTGGGCTGTACAATATTACACACACAAAAATTGATGCTGTAAACCTTTGCACACAACTGTATGATTTTACACACGAATCAACAAACCTTAGAGCAGGGGTCGGGAACCTTTTTGTCTGAGAGAGCCATGGACACCACATATTTTGAAAAGTAATTCTTTGAGAGCCATTCATTATGTTTAAAACTCAAAATTAAAGTAATGTGTACATTTTGTGTAATTTCAACACTAAATATGCAATAATTATGTCTCTGAATTCTTTTTAATAACATTGTTATGCTGTTGCTAATCAATAATGAGTCATTCTTACCATTAATGCGACTTTTTTTGTATAATCGAACATTTGTCTGCGAGCCAGATGCAGCCATCAATAGAGCCTCATCTGCCTCGTGAGCCATAGGTTCCCGACCCCTGCCTTAGAGGGAACATTGCTCAAGAGTCATATTATGGTCTAATTTCCTGTGTCACGAGGGCTTCACACCACAACTAGATCTAATTGAATTTATTTAATACATTTTTTTAAAACTTTGCAGAATATTTTGAATACTTAACCTGGAAACATACAATGTGCTTAAAAATGTGCCTTCATGAATACAAAAGGAAAAAATAGGAAGTTTTAAAGGGTAACATAGGCTTATAGACTTATATGCAACAGCTTTTGAAATGGATTAAAGTGGAATAAACTATTTCCAAAGGTCAAAATCATTCGGAAAAAAATGAGAAAAGCATGCTGTTTTACTGTCAGCGACGCGCGTTTATCCAGTTTGAATTAGAACTGTAATTTTGGCCGTTAAATTACTAAATTACATATCTAACTCTGTGTGCGGGCCGCATGTGTGCTTGCTAGTTTTAGGCCTACATGCCTGCTCTGGGAGGAGGGGGGGGGGAACAAGAAGGGGTCACTTAGTTGATATGTTGGGCTAATTTCGACAGTTGCCACTGGCTGCTACGTCCCATGAATTTAGTTCCTGTGAGACTTCATATAGTCAACAAAGTTTGAAAACCACTAGCATACACTAAAGCAGAGGTTCTCAACCTGCGGGTCGCGACTCCCTTGGAGGTCGAACGACCCTTGCACAGGAGTCGCCTAAGACCAACCGAAAATCCATATTTATGAAGTAGAAAGGAACATAATTTTATGGTTGTGGGTCAACACAATGTGAGTAACTGTATCCGGCATTAAGAAGGTTGAGAACCACTTTTCTTTAGTGTAGTGGTTTGCTCACGCTACTCTCGCGGAATCTAGCGGCGCATACGCCGAATGTTTAGGCCCACAGTGTTCTCAGAGATCTTTCGGATGTTGTGAAGCGTCAGCAATCTGAAGCGTTTCATAAAATTCATCAACGATCTATTTCTAAGATCTCCAGCAACTTGCTTGTCGATTCTTAGAAACTAAGAGCTAAACATGAGAATGGAACAGTGGGTTGGACAAGAGAATACGTCTTCCAAACTCTCTTTGCGTTAACTTAAATGTGTACAGTCCACTGCAGTAGAAAGCTTGTGTAAAAATATATATATATATATATTTAGATAAAAAATTATCCATCTTTATTATGCCTATCACCTCCCTGCCATAATTTTTTCCTTGGAAAGATTTTTCTCTCTAAATGACGCTGGTTATACTTTGTATTTTCTATTGTCTTAATGAGTGTGCCTGCTTAATCTAGTTTTTAATTGTTAACTTGAAAAAAAGAAGAATTTCAATTAGAATTGTAACGAGTAGATCTAGTAATTTTATTTAATATATTATAATGTCTCCAAAAAGTTTATGATAATGAAAAGTTTCATATTTGAAATTTAGTTTGACTGTAATAAAGTCTATTGAGGAAGAGAAACCACAGTGTGTTTTGAGTTCTGTTGTGAGTTGGCATCCACTTCTCTAAAGCTCGGCAAGTTAAAGAGACACCTGGAAACGAATCCGAAGCAATCCAGCCCAATAAACAAAGATACCAACTTCTTTGAAGCCAAAACCGAACGATTGCTCCAATCCAGGCTTAATGACATAGGGATGTTTTCGCATAACGTTAAGGCTGGTCTACAAGCCTCCTTTGGGCTGTCAAGGAAAATAGCCGCCCAAAAGTAACCCCACAGCATCAGAGAATAGTTGATATTACCTTGCTGCAAAGGTAGCACATCGAATGTGCTGGGAAGTTCTGAACTCGAGTAGTTGGAGCATGTTTCCCTGCCAAATGATACTGTTATGAGGGGAATAGCGGAAAAGTCTAAGAATATACATTTGCGGTTGGTCTCGAAGATTCGGAATTATATTTTCAACTTCTTTGCGATACAGTTCGAGGAAATGACTAAATGTCGCCATCTTAACCAAACTTTGCGTCTATGTACATGTGACAAAGCAGCTAGAAGATATCCACTGAAGGAGTCATAGCTACGATTGGTTGCCGTTCTGGTTTTCAAACTTGATTTAGCAGAAAAGAACCCCAAACATTATTGGTACACACTGCACTTTAATCGCCAAACCTTAATAGTAAAAACTATAGGCTACCTGGTGAGTTGGTTGAAACATTTTCTCATTGAAGTGATTACAGCAGTGCTTCATCTCTTTCAGAGTCAGGCTTAGTGCTTCATCTCAGCTAGAGGCAGGCTTAGTGCTTCATCTCATCTAGAGGCAGGCTTAGTGCTTCATCTCTGCTAAAGGCAGGCTTAGTGATTCATCTCTTATAGACAGGCTTAGTGCTTCATCTCTTTCAGAGGCAGGCTTAGTGCTTCATCTCTGCTAAAGGCAGGCTTAGTAATTCATCTCTTATAGACTGGCTTAATGCTTCATCTCTTTCAGAGGCAGGCTTAGTGCTTCATCTCAGCTAGAGGCAGGTTTAATGCTTCATCTCTTAAAGAGGTAGGCTTAGTGCTTCATCTCTTATAGAGGCAGGCTTAGTGCTTCATCTCAGCTAGAGGCAGGCTTAGTGCTTCATCTCTTATAGAGGCAGGCTTTGTGCTTCATCTCTTACAGAGGCAGGCTTAGTGCTTCATCTCTTACAGAGGCAGGCTTAGTGCTTCATCTCTTACAGAGGCAGGCTTAGTGCTTCATCTCAGCTAGAGGCAGGCTTAGTGCTTCATCTCTGCTAAGTATTGGAGCAATTGAAATGGAAAAAAAGTTTGAGAGAGTGATCAAACGCTTTGCTAATATAGAATATAGAAGAAATCTTTTCTTTAAAAAAAAAATTAAGTGGGAATAAATATAAGTTATAAATTACTTAATAATCTATCTTAAGTAATTTTTTTAAAGAATAGTAAAGTTTAAATGATGGCATCAGGCACCTAAATGCCTTAATCCTGTCCTAAATGAGTAAAAAATAAAAACTTGTATTTATCATTATATGGCTCATAGTTTCATCAGCCATTGTCCCTATTCAACAATGGAATGATTATTTATCATGGTTGAGATTGATTAAAAACAAAACACTTGTCACATTTGTTTTTTAAATACGTTTGGATATTTTCATAACAAGTGCTCAGAAAACGACAGGTGTTTTTAAACACCACACCGTAACCAGAGTGATAAACTAATGGTGTCATCCCCCTCCAGACTTCCTCATGGATCTCTTTTGAGCTCTGGTGATACCCTGCTCAGTTGACAACCCGTTCCTTTTTAAAACTGCTCTGATGGCGAACTTTTGGAGATCCCTGCCATGTTTCGGTTTTTCCACCCCCCCCCCTTCCCATTAGAAATTGATAGGTTACAAACGTTCGACATTACTTTGGGCCCCTAAAGTATCCAATTGGGGTTGAAGTCCCCACATGACAGCCCTGGTGACACCCTGCTCTTGTATTTTTTAATTCCTGTCATAGAGTTAAGTTGAGTTTGTTTGTTGTTTGTTTACCTCACATGACCTAGTTTTATGCCTCAAAATCCAGCTTCCCACTTCTTACTGAACATTTTCTGATCAGGTTATGGCACACAAACTGCACAAAATCAACTAAAATTATTCACTCAAATCAACCAAATAGAAAAAGTAAAGCAGATAAATTGGCTTTATATTCTTTTTGTTTATGATTAAAACCACTCAGACATTGTAACAAAATGATTGGAAAATCAATGGGACAAACAAACAAAAAAACTATTTATAAACAGAATAATTAAACCTGCCTCCAATAGTTTATTCACAACCAGCAAATCTCAGACAATGTTTCCAATCCTGCTTCAAGTCTCCCCTTGAATGAACAAGTATCCTTTCTATCAGTACATAAATATAAGCAACATTGTATTGCTAGTCAGCACAACATAAATGCATGGGGAGGCATACACCCTCCAACATCATACAACTCTGTACACACTCACTCTTTAGATCTGTTTACTGAACAGAATACAACATTTAAGACTAAATAATTTATGTTTACTTCGTGGCCTGTAGGTTTATTTCTTATTAAGGGTGCGTTTGCACTACGGTGCTAAGAATCAAGTGCAGTTGGGAGGTGACCGAAGCCTGCATCTCATTGCTGTCACTTGTAACAACTTAGTATTTTCTCAACAATCAATCACAACAATGCCTACTCATCGTGCCTCTCATTCTACCACTATTTTCAAGGGATACTTTTCCAATGTAACAAGGCAATGCTTTTCAATGTACGCACACTGAACTGCCAATAGTTTATTGATAACTGTTGCTTTAATGCCAAAGTTATATCAAAGTTACAGGACGTACTGTGATGACAGCCTGTGGCATACTATGAGTAACACTGCTTTAATGCCATTGTGAACAGAGCTCCATATAAAAGAATGCAATCATTTCATGCCTGAATAGCTTTATATCTAATGGAAAATATGGTAAGCCTTGTATCCAAATGATGGGAATGACTAGAGATTAAGTCAATGTTCTGTTTAATACTGTCAACCCTTACAGGCATGGGCTTTTGTAACATGAGAGAGTCCAGAATCAAGTAGATTCAGCTGTTTTTACTTCTAGTGTTTTCTTACAGCATTTGGATACATTACCCATTACATACAATGTTATTCCAAGCCTTGCATTGATAGAGGGCTCAGTGAGATATTTGTTTAATACACTGTAGATACAATCCGGTAACACGGGACACTGAAAGGACACAAGGTTATCATTGACATAACACAGATCTAAATCTAACTCACATCACATGGTCTTCTTCTTCCCTCAGACCTTCTCTGCTTATACTTATTCATTTTGTTTTCACATTTTTCACAGTTTTATTACAGACGACAGAGAACTCTTTCTGTTCTTCAGTCAACAACAAGTCCGAGAAGTTTATTTAAAAGGTTCCCAAAACACGTTGACATGAGACTAACCTGGCAACAGATGACACTTGGGAATCTTAGAGGACTAAACTACTACCAAAACATGACACTCAGGACTCTAAGAGGACTTGACTACTACCAAGACAAAGTGTTGAAAGCAAGCTCTTATCCCGACCCAAATATCATATTATAATTTCATTGTGTGCTTTTGTTCCTAGAGTTTACAATATTTCTAACAGAGCTAAAGTAAAAAAATTAATTCACAACTTAGGGTCTGCGGTTATGACTAAGACTACAGCTATTGTCTTCACAGAGGGTCTGTTTTCATATGAACTAAAAAATTGTAAAAATCTAGTTGTCTTTTAACATTCCAGTCCTGATATGATACAGGTAACTTGAAAAAAACAACATATTTCATGGGAGCACAACATTTTTTTTCCTCAAAAGCAAACAGGAAATGCATCAGGGACATCTGGTTAATCAAGACAGCTGTTGATGTGGTAAGAACACAACATAATTATGTACTCTTCTACACATGACATTATTCAATCATCCAATTATTTGGGGCCAAAAAGGATTGAATCCTAATGTATTTCATGTCAACTGAAATGAAACATATCTAAATTAACAGCGCAGATGTTATTTCATATTCTTTTTTTAGGAACAAATTATTATGTGATATTGTTAAGTAGTCATGCAATAATAATTTTTTTTTTTTGAAAATGAAAACATTTTTAAAAACATCCTTGATGGTATAATTAATACTAGGTATACTACCAATAGGTGAAACCATCCAAATGTAACAAACTTAGGAGGAATGAATACAAGCAGGAGTCCTCAGGAGGTCAAAGTTGTAATTGTTACAGTGACAATGCCCTTAAGTTGATCAGTCCTTCTACGCAACGGCCGTCTTCTGCTAGCTGGAGAAAGGCCGCAGGTGCTCCAGCTGTATCTCTAACGCGATGCGCTGCTCCATCACCTCCTGAAGTTCTTGATTCAGCTCGCTGTTGAGTCTCGTCAACATTGTGTTGCGCTCCTTGTGGGTGCGAACAGCCATGTGGATATCCCTGCGATCACGGCTCCCTTGTCTGTCAATATACAATAAAATACATATATGACATTGTGATGGATGTGACAGAATTTATTGAAATTATAACTAATTCAGCGTTCCCCATATAGTGAGCCTTACGTTGCTGGTCTGAACATTTATAATCAAATAAAATATAATGAATAAATCTGGCAGTGGTCCCTGATGCAATGTCGAAACCTGTCCACCAGTCTGCCAAACTTAAAACTTTTGGAAAAGCTGCCCTTGATGACTGTCAATAATACATGACATAAGTTCTTCTTCATTTAGTTAAAAGGTTTAACTCAGTCCTACACCAGGTGACCAGTAAAATGTTTACTAAGGGGACTTAAAACTTCTAAAAGCATTTTTCTTTTCTTTCATAACTATTTTAAAAAGAGTCAAAAACATAATTTGAATTTTTTTTTGTTACAATTTATTATTATAATCCTGTCATTTGTAATTGACTGTTATTCATTACATGCCAAATTGGGGGAAGGGGGGGGGGGGTGTTTGTTTATTTCTTCCCATGGCATCTGTAGCATCATCATTAATTTGTCATATTGCATCATGCCAAAAATGTAATTTACAATTTATTATTATAATCCTGTCATTTGTAATTGACTGTTATTCATTACATGCCAAATTGGGGGAAGGGGGGGGGGGGGTGTTTGTCTATTTCTTCCCATGGCATCTGTAGCATCATCATTAATTTGTCATATTGCATCATGCCAAAAATGTAACTGTATCGCATGTAACAGAGGGAACTGTACCTGATAGCCATAGCAGGCTTGGGATGAAGTCGTTCTCTGACTGCACTGTCTGGTGTGCTGTCCTCATCATCTGCTCTGTCCTGTGTTAGGAAAATACATTTATAATTTTTTAATTATTGCTGGATCATAACAAATAAAAGAAATTTTAATTCAACATCGTGAGAAAAGTTCAAGTATTGGAAGTTTGAATATGCTTTCATTTTTTATAAACATGGCCTGTTGACAAATTAAGAAATTTAAGGTTTCTCAACTAGTGTGTCATTTGCAATAATAAATAAAAATTAAAACTGCTAAATTACCTTCTCAACCAATGCTGTCTCAATGTTTTCTGTAACATTACAAAAAAAAAGAAATTTAAATGATAAGATATGGATTATTTTATTGATCTAAATAAATGGAAATGTTTGGATTGCAATGTACAGATTAATAATTTTAAAAATAAAACAAGAGGATTTCATGGTTTATTAAAATGAAAACTACAAAATTATTTTATTTAAATGTCTTGAGTGTATTATATTTATTATGTTAATTTTCTTTTCAATGGCAGATATGAATTTTTAAATACTTTATGTTACTATGTTTGAATTCCTCATTGAAATAAAAGACTTTATGATACAGTGTTGAAGTTTCCCGTGTTCAGGCTTCAGACTAACATAAAGATGAAATGCATGTATGAAATTCAATACAAGTCAATATTTATTTACCTGGTGGCAACTCTGGTGGAGCGGCAGCAAAGCCCTGTGGAATTATTGTTTATATCTCTGTTAATTGTTTAGAACACATATTCCCTAAGACAAGTTTTATGGTAGTTCGTTATAATGGTTATTTGGTACAATAAATCTAGGCAAAACAAGATACAATTTTGTCCTTGAACTACATACAAAAATAATCACTTCATTCTTAAATCCAGGTATTGATAGTTGTGTATTATTTCACTGCATTTGAAAATGTGAGATGAAAAAGGTTGTTTAAATCTGAGTCTGACAATTATTTATAAAGTTTAAAAAAAAAAAATAAAAAAAAAAAGAAGTATATCAATAATATCATTTTTTTAAATATTTAAAGTCATTTAAATCAGAAATATCACATAGAAATAATAATAATAATAATCATATAATAATTTTCTCAAATAAACAATTTGTAAATAAAAGATTATTTGCAACCTATTGATTATGAAGTTATATTACTAATTACAACAATTACGCTATGAGCCAAAAATGTCATGCTAGCCTTTGTTTTATTTTTTCATGAATCTGTGATTATACAAACCATTACATTTTGTAAGATTACTTCTTAGCCATTAAAAATGTAGTGAAATATGCTCAACTATATGTTACAAGATATAAATAGGTTTTATTACAACAAATAACATCTCCCACATACATAAGTAATAATTCAATCAGTGTTTCATAAAAAATTACAAATTTGAAATAAAAAGGTCGACAATTTAATGAAATTACCCTCACAAAAATTATAAATTAATTCCCAGACCGTCATTGTACAAAAAAAAATCAGGTGTAAAAATTGTGCATTGTAAAATTAAATCTGTATGTTTAAAATTCAAGACAAAACATGCACCATGGAAATCCACTATTTTAATCATGGATGCTCCTTGTACTTGTTCTCATGAACAAGTTTTTTAAAGTTTGAATTGAAAAAAATATCAGCTATAATGATATCATTTTTAGTCATTATTTGAGAATGGTTTTATTTGTTAGGTTATTTGGGTGTTACCATCTAATAAGGCTAAATATTATTTTATACTACAGGTATATTATTATACTTTATAAAAAAAATGCTGTCAATGGTAAAAAAAAAAAAATGCCTCTAATGGCCAATTTTTTTCCTAAGAGAGGGTGTGTTACAACTAAATGTTATATATTTATATCAAATCCCTATAAGTTCTTTCAAACTAGCCTTAAATGGGAACGTGTTTTCTTGTTTACGGGTGTCAGCTCTGAAACATAATGACTTGGGTAATATTTTAGTGGGCTGTAGGCAAGAATATATATTTCAAGAAAATGGGCTACAATAGTTTTCGAGCTATTTATTATATTTTCCCTTACATTGCCTTACCTTTTCTCTCTCTATTTAAATCTACTACTTGGTCAACCCTTTGTTAGCGAGTGCGAAGTGGAAATTTGTGATGTACAAGTAGAGAGAACCGGTTGAACTGTATCGGATGTGTGTTTGGGTGTTAGATGTGTTACAATAAGCTATACAAAATCATTTATAGCTTAGTTTGAGCATTACTTAGTCTTCATTCTTTTAGTTGTTACTTCACCTTTCTGGTCATTTGAATGCCTTTTACAAACAAGTTCCAAAACAATATCAATAATTAGTTAAGAGTTTGTAATATTACTGTGAAAGATATTGAAAATATGTTAGGATTCCTTCCCTCCTCATTTTAAAACCATGGTACCGTATAAAACTTGTTAAAAAAAAAAAAACTCTCATACAGACCCATGAGTTCTTGGCATCGAAGACTAAAATTATGAATAACTGGCTTCTAAAGTTTAATCATTAATTAGTTAGCAATGAGAATTTAATGGAATGAATGAATTAACTGATGCTAAAAAAATATTTAATACATTTAGTAGTGACAATTTAGATGTTTCAGGTTAGTTGTTGTTGTATTGAGCAACGAATGACTGGGAAAGGTTTAAAAATTTGCTTAATAATTAAAATTAACCCCAAAAAATGAATTGACTTCTTTATTATTATGCCACTCTTTAGAAAGTTTATTGAAAAGATAATTCCATGGGATAAATAAAAATACATGAACTAAACGTTCGGGAATATATTATCTTTACATGTAAAGTTTATTTAACTAATCAAAATAAATGAGACCATATTAAAGAAAAGGTAAAGTTTGAGCCATGCGAAGTTCCCTGGTTGTGGGGAAATAAAATGATAGAATTCCCTGGTTGTGGCCAAATAAAATGACAGAGTGATACATGTTACAAGCTGATCCCAAAACCTGGCTAGCTTGATTAGAACAAATGGTTTCCCTAAGATTTTTCAATGAGTGAGTCTCACCAATTTCACGCCTAAGGACACACTTCGGCGGTGCGTCTGCACCATTGACTGTATGTTTTTAGAAAGTGGCTTATGCTGAAAGGAAATCAACTGCATGAAAACCCTGGCAGTGCTCAGCCTGATAAATGTATTTGTATCAATCATTCAGTGATAGCCTGACAAATGTACTTGTTTCAATCATTCAGTGATAGCTTTAAAACAATGACTCTTTAGCTAAAGCCCATTGATAAGGAATGACTTATGAATACAATATACATCATTGTACACCTGAAAATCAATGGTTGAAATGAAAAATACTTTAAGTAGAGAACAACACAAATACTGAAACATGGACATATATTTAATTAGGAGCCGTGTTTTACCCTGATAGTTTAAAAAAGTAATTAACTTGAGTAATGTATTTGGTCCGTTTAAATCTAACACAATTCAACAAGTCTGTACATATTCCAAAAGAATACTTTGGTTAACAATTGATGGGGCAAGTGTGTACATATAGAAGGAATCAATAGACAACTTTCCTAAACAACCCACCATAGTTCAGACAACACAACATGGTTCACACAAAACAACTTAGTTAAGACAACACACCCTAAGTTCAGACAAAACAACATGATTCAGACAAAACTTAGTTTAATTAACACGACACAGCTAAGACAAGACAACAAATAAACATTGTAGTTTTTCTTAAATGGGTGACTGGGGAAGATACACAAACATTTGACAACTTTTACTATAAGGAAGATTATTTAAAAACTTAGAACTATTGGATTCTTCAACAATAAGGGAAAAATTCAAATGAATTACATAGTTCTTATTTCCTTCCTCACAGTCAAATTTGTGTAAGAAATGTATTCCAATATAGCCACAGAAAAATTACCTCAACACCACCTGTGATTGCCTCCCCTGGCTTCTGACTTAACAACTGGACCTGGAGAAAAAATTGAATATAATTGTTTAAAATATAATTTCAGGTCTTTATAAACAAAATAAATAAAAGCATTTCAGTAAAAAAGATATTTTAAAATCTAGTTCATTGCTTGCATACTTTTAAAATAATATTAAATTTTGAAGTCTTTAAAAAAAAAAGGAATATTGAGAACAGAAACTACAATGTACGCATACTTTAAAACAAAAATTATTTTTAATTCTTCAAGTTTATTTTATAAATTGTCCTATTTCCTTAACACTGAAATGACTCTTGAGTTGTAGCAGTGAGATGAGATTCCATTGATAAATATCTCATGACGAGTTACACACTTACATGACTGACTTCTTTTGGTGAAACTCTGGGGGGAACAGCTGGGGCAATCAGCTGTGGGGCTGAGGATAAAAGTAATGTTGTTAACAAGAATATGCTGAATTTGGATGGGATTGAGGATGAAAGTAATGTTATTAAAAGAGAACTACTGACTTTGGATAAGATTGAGGATGAAAGTAATGTTATTAAAAGAGAACTACTGACTTCGGATAAGATTGAGGATGAAAGTAATGTTGTTAAAAGAATATGCTGAATTTGGATGGGATTGAGGATGAAAGTAATGTTATTAAAAGAGAACTACTGACTTTGGATAAGATTGAGGAAGAAAGTAATGTTATTAAAAGAGAACACCTGACTTTGGATAAGATTGAGGAAGAAAGTAATGTTATTAAAAGAGAACTACTGACTTTGGATAAGATTGAGGAAGAAAGTAATGTTATTAAAAGAGAACTACTGACTTTGGATAAGATTGAGGATGAAAGTAATGTTATTAAAAGAGAACTACTGACTTTGGATAGGATTGTGGATTAAAATAATGTTGTTAAAAGAGTACTGCTGACTTTGGATGGGATTGTGGATAAACAGTGATGTAATATATGTGAAATATGATAAAATCTTTTTGTGTAGGTACCAAGTATAGTAAGACAAAATAGAAGTACATAAGTATATTTCAGCTACAAGCCTTCATCAAATACCAAGCAAATGAAATTAAATTTTACAAGATTCATAGCCTAATGACTGAAAACAAAACGCAAAGACAAATAAAAAAGGCTGGGCACAAATTCCTTCTTTACACAAACAAGAACCGAAACAATTATGTGAAAAAATGTGGAGAAGGGGACCAATATGGTGAAACAAAATAACAAATCAATAGAATTAACGAGTGGATACATGAAAATTATGTTAATAAGGCAGACAAGAGGGTTGGGGAAAAATGTAACCCGCGAATTTTTTATTATAATATATCTGATATGATGAATAAGTTTGGGAAGGGGAGCTTTTAAACGGAGCTGCTAAGAACTTTTTCATCAAGTGTTGTTTATAAATACAACTTCTGAAAGGTAAATGGAAAATAAGACAAAAGTTCCTCTTTTTTGCTGTCCCAATCACAGCTACATATATATAAATGATGTTCAGCACGCTAAATGTAGATGAACTTACTTGATTTCACATCAACTGACATACTCCTGCCATGAGGTGGTCTAGGTGGTGGTGTTGGTGGGCCGTGGCTCTGCCCTCCGGTAATATCATTTGGTCTTTCAACAAACACTCCGCCAGCCGCGGCTGCCCCTTCTGGCACAGACCCGGGCGGTGGTTGCAGCTGGCCTATCAACACAGCAGGGACTGTGTTATCAAGACAACAAAAACATACAATGGTGAGATGAATAAAGAGCTCAGAGTGCCTTGTGTACACAGTTGTTTCAGACAACCCTCACATCCAAATTGTATAGCTGTGTATAGCATATCATCAACCATTTCACCTCAAAGGGATTTTACTTTACCACAATAACTTTACAATAGAAGAATTCGGTCATAAACAGTCAAGATGATTCCTTGCTAATGGGAAATTTCAATATCCAAATCAGCCTCATGATTTAAGTGAAAGGCAAAAAAAAAACAGGGTAACATTATTCATTTTATTGAGATCTAACATTAACAATAAGACTATTTGACTGAATAAACAAAAATAATCACTGGTAAAGTAGACCGACAACTAAGAATTTAGATTATTTAGATTTTGAAATAGTCAAAGATAAACAAATCCAGAAGTATTACTGATCTTTCAGCGCTATGATAACAAACTAGCTCCCAACTCCCTTTTTTTTCACATACACCTTAGTCTTAGTAACCCAATAGTAAAATTAGTAAAGGCAAAAAGTACAATGAAAATTTCTTGCAAATTCAATTCTTACATTTTTTTTTTCACCACTTCCAAAACCATTAAATTTGTTCCTTCAAGTATTACCCCACTATTTGAGACTTTACAACACGAGGATCAAAACTAATGACAAGATCATTTTTGTGTCTACACCTAGACCAAGACGTTTAAAATAGTACAATATCCTTGAATTCATTTGTGTTAGGCAATCTGAAGAGCATGTATGCAATCAGATTGTTGAGAGGCCATAAGTTATAGTTAAATAAAACAATCATGAAGGTTTTCAAAGAGATCTCCTTGAGGTCTGAAAGAGTATTTTTCATTGATTGTACATTTTAATCATTAAGGATAAAATAATAATATTTATATACATTATTTTTAAAAATGCTTTCAATACTACAAAACCAACTTCCATGCAATACACAAATTCAAACTGAAACCAAATCCAATTTACGTTCATTTATATAGACCCAAAAAATTAAAATAAAAAATGATAAAGTATTGATATTATATCCGAATTATAATATTTTTTAAAAATTTACATTTAACACATCCAAACATATCATTTTGAAAAAATCTATTTAAATACACAAAAACACACAACAAGAGTTGATGTTCATAGTTCCATTAGGAAACACTAAACATTTCACTTGTGTTAAGTAAGCCAAAATAAAGCATTAAAGAAGCCAAATTTAAATTCCATCTAAGGAGTTGGTTGAAAACAACTAAAATTAGAAGCTACATAGGAAAAAAATATTTAGACCACATTAACAAAATGTATTAAAAGATGCAACAGTCTATCCTGCAAATTATACAGCAAATTTGGTTAAAGTCTTACAAGCACAAAACACAAAGCTCTCATTTTTAAAAAAATTATATTTTTATATTAAAAAAATATATAATAAAAAAAATAATGAAGTAAATTTCAACTTTCTAATTTCTTATTTTAACAAACTTACTTTTCCCAATCCTTGAAAACATGAAGCTGACTCAAAAAAATAAATTTTGTAACATTTTTTAATCGTTTACTTTGTTGTCCCTGGAAGGCAATAGCGAGATATATGCTGTAAGAGGGTGATTTACTCCAGACTTGTAAATCACAATGATTTGTGTGGAAATGTAGTTATAATAGCTAAGGTCAAAGTATAAGATACCTCATAAGATGAAATGATCTAAGCAGATCAGTTATAACTTTTATTATTACGCACAAGAATATGCTGATCTATAGGAAATCCATTACAGATAAATGATATAATTACCGAAAAAATGAGAAAATAATGAGCCAGTTTCAGATCACCCTCTTTTTTGAACACAGATATCTATTTTGCCATTTCAAGAGACAATGTTTACCTGTCATAGAGCTGTTTAATATAATATACCTGTGGTTGTGCTGTTCTTTTTAGGCGGGACAGGCCGGGGCCGCCCATGTATTGGTGTGCTATATTTAGAGTTGGGGGTCTCCAAGTGACTAGAATCAATGTTGTGGGACTCTGTGTTTGCCCTCTGCTTGGTGAGGGGAGGGGTTGTCTCCCCTGGGTCAGTCCCCCCAGATTCGTGTGGCACTGAGGAGTCTGTGAAACACATGTACACATACACAACACCAAACAGACATGCACACGTCTGTACAATATCAAAAGAATTTTAAATGTCATATTCTGACAAAACATAGGAAATAACATTTATCTGCAACTCTTGTGTAGCGAGTACCACACCGATACAAACAACCCAAGCTCCTTTCCACTCGACACTGTATAAATATTTCAATTAAGACTATTGTTGCAAAATGGAAATGAACGAAATTTTTTTCTAAAGTAAGTTTAACAACTGTTCTATAAACTGCTGAAGAGGCAGACCCATTAAGTAAAAAAGGAACATAGTTGGTTATTGGTTAACATCAGTCAATGAACTGTGAGCTCTTTTTGGGTGGGAATACTGGACAGTTTTATTGTTTCTTACTGCTAACCTTACAACACATAGATTATCCCAATGAGTCTCTTTGCTGTCCTATTATTTAATACCACTCTAGGCATAGGTCTACCACAAACTCATGTTACATGTTCAAATACCACAAATTATATAGGATTAAATTTATTTTAATTACTGTTTACATGTTTGTTTATCATTACATGCTTTGCAAATGCTTTTCAGAGATGTTTAATGTTAGAAGCAAAGCTAAAATATAATAAAGATTTTAGATGACGATCACCTATGCAGCACTTTAAATAAAGCTTCAAATTACAAATTATAAGACTTTTCTTTTTAATACTTCTTGGAGTTCTTCCCCAAAATTACACAAAATTAAAAAAACAAGTTCTGATTGGATGTAATCTTAAGAAAGTGAAATGCCATTATAGTATTTACAACATTTCCCAATAGCATGCCAAGGACCCCAGAATCTCTCAAAACTCCTAATCCGACAATAAAATATGAAACAAAATTATTTTAAAATAGCCCCAATATAGTATTAGGAAAAGATATTATGTGTTATATAAATTAAATAAAGATTAATAAAGTGGTTATACTGTGAATAAATTGATATTTATAAACAGTCATGAAAATCTATGCCATGCTAAGCATCATGCAAAAGAAATAGTTTGAGCTACCGAAGGGAGATTTATATCAGAAAATATAGAGATTTTAAAAAACAAGGTGTCCATAATTTTTGAGTCAAAATCTTTTTATTTATAATTTTCAGCAACTTTATTTTTGAAATCATCCTTCGGAAAAATTGATTTTAAAAATTGTGTTTCTAAAACAACACCTTGTATTTTTAAAAATAATTCTATGCACTGAGACTAAAGTGCGTCCAAACCTTTATGGTCAATACAGGCTAACACAAAAAAATTAAATAAATCAAATTAGATATTTTTTTTAAATATACGGCTTAAAAAAAGTTATTTTGTTTACATTTCACACTTTATTTTAGTCAAAGCTTTGCTGATAGTGAAAAAACTTTTTAATGGGATTTGTTGGCAAAACAAATATAAGCATATACAAAACCATCTGCTCCAAAATTAATGTATCAATTTTTACTGTATGGTAATCTGGTTGTTTTAAAGCAAGTGTTACAACTAGCACAAATGTGCTATGCTGATATGTTGCTTAATGTTGCCTCATATAGTGAATTAAAGAAAATTATAATTTTATTGATTTGGTGTCAAATTTACTACGAATTTCAACTTTTGGATGCAATATTTCCTAGAAAAAACAACTGCTTCTTACTTTTGTCAGACACCACATTAACTCTGAAATAAAATAACTATATTTTTGCAAGTCTATAGTTTTCTATATTTTGGCTTTGGCTGCGATCAAACTAAGGTTTAAGACTTTTTGTTCAAAATAATTATATGATAGGATATTTAGAAAAGGTCTGAAATGTAGATAAAACCTGTATCTTATTTTCCAATACTTTGGTTCAAATTATTTAAATCACAGGACTAGACTTTTTAGAAAAAAACATAATTTAAGAAATTTTGTATAGCTTTCATGTTATATTTACCAAGTGGTACCAAATGACTCTACAACACAAGGTGAACACCTAAGAGACAGCAGACAAATAGAGATTAGAAATGGCGCAAGCAGCCAGCACCAAACTACCTGAAAATGCCCTACCACGATCATATCCCTCATTCTGTAAAGGCAACATCTCTGGCAGTTTGTGAACAGGAACCGGCTGTACAATTTTCGACTCCTGTCAATATTCAATGGTGCAAAAGGTTAAAATCAAAATAGTCCTGAACAGTATTATGGTGGAAATTTATGTGTCTCATATAGTAAAACCCTCATTCATGATTATTTTGTTTCAAAAGGTATAATCTCTATATTTTACTTAAAAAAAGGGAACTTTGCTTGAAATAAGATCAAGTTAAAAATTGAAATCCACTTAAATTTTAAAATATTTTTTTTAAATGAGAGGCATGATGCAATGTTATGAGTTTGGACAACTTTTATCACGACCAACCCTTGTTTGAAAATATGAATTAAAAATGTTAGCATTTTATAAATTTTTTAATAGGAGAGAATATTTTATTAAGAAGATTAAGCCAAACAATGGATTTGGACATAAATAATACAGCCATATAAATATTATATCAGTTTTTCAACAGAAAGGTTCTGTGATTTGTAAACTTATCATGAGTCAAAGTACACAATAATTTTATATTTAGGTTTCTAAAGTAAATTTCTCTCACTCCCAAACCTACAATGCAATATTATCAATTAAAAAAAAATTAACTCTCAAATTATTACAAACTTGAAAGCTCATTTCAAAATTGTTAACTTCACCTAAACACATTTTTTAAAAATTTTCAATGAAATATTATAGAACTGATTTAAACATTGAAAGCCCCAGGAAATGGTCTCAAATTTTGTCCCTACAATTTGATTCACTCACTGGATCAACACTGGGTTTAGCAAATTCAAAGTTGACTGGGTGAGCAGGGGAGGGAACTCCATTGGAATCTGGTGATTCTCTCCCAAAGGCAGTCCACTGAAATCAAACACCATATACAATGAGCTGCTATCAAAGTCATAATTTTTTTTGTAAATGTTATATTGAAATTAAATAACTTGCACGGTTTGAAAATTAAAACTCCCTTAGTATGTTTAATAAAACTAAGTTGCAAGATAAACAAACCTGTGCGACATTGGACTGTGGAGAAGGTGGTGTTGCTCGCTTCAGAGTACTACCTGGGGGAAGGTCAGCTGCAAATGGTTCATCTGAAATTAACAAAATTCATTTAAATTTAATTTTAATTAGTCTGGTTTGCTATTATTTGTATTTCATACACCAGGAAAACAATTTTATTTAAGTTAATTATTTTTAGCTCATCAGGGTCACATGTTGAGAACATTTTTCTTACGATATCCCTTCTTCAGCCTGAAATGATTGGTTTTTGAAGCAAGAATATACAAAGAAATAAAAGATCCAGATAGATTTGTCTTTAAAGTTTTAACCCGCTCTGCTTTGAACGCTACCCCCGATGAGTCTTGTCTCAGAACATCTTGTAAGGAATAGATAAGTGAAAACAATCAAATAATCTTATAAAGTACTACTGACCACTTGTTAAGGTGGAATATGGCATAAGTGAGATGGGCAAGTGATCTGGAAGCTCAATGTCATTCCTCCTCAGCACCACCAAGTGCATGGCAATACAAAACTCCTCAAGCGACAGGGCTCCGTCAAAGTTAAGATCTGATAACTGCCTGATATGGGAAACATCATAATTGGCTAACATCAGTTGACATCTAATTATTGAAATTTTAATTCTCTCAATAAATTATGAGATCATTTGTTTAAATGCTTTAATAAAAATGGATTTAATTATCTCTATACTTGTATTAACATTGCATTTGAACAGTGATATATTTATAATGCAGATTAAAGTCAATTATCTGCAAATAATTTCAGGTATATAACATACAGAATAAACAGAGTATTATTATTTAACTAACATTATACATTACAAAAACAATGTGATTACATTTTCTTGATATATCACAAAGAATAAAAACAAAATCATTAAAACAATGAAGTAATAATTATTAAGTTATGATTTTGAAAGTCTAAATTATGCATATAAAATGAAATGAAGTAAAAATAATTACCATATTTTTGACAACTCAATTACAGGTAATTTTGACTTTTCAAAGAAATGTTTGGCCACAGGACCTGGGACACAGAGTTGTATTTTTATTTTCGAATATGCCTTACATTACAAATGTACACATGAATATGGCTATATGAAAAAAATCAACAGTCTGTTTAAAAATATTTATAAGGAACAAATGGCCACAGTTGGACCACTAATGTGTGGGTATCTCTCCCCCACCCCTTTTTTTTTGTTTTTTACTTTTTTTTAAAAACAATTCTAATCTAATTTGTATTAAATTTCAACAATAAAGAAAAGACAGTGATTTCCCTTGTTAAAACAAAAATTTCATTGGTATTAGCATATCTAGTCAATATGAACATACCCCAGAACATGCCCAGTATGATGCAAAAAACTATGAAAGCAATCATGTATAAATGTTGCAAGTGTCTAGACCAGCCAAACACTCACCTGTTATGACTGCGCTTAGGTCAGGCTGCATTGTTTTAAACTGGTTTATATAATACTCTCTCTGTTCATCATTGATGGTCCAGACATCATCCACACTATCAGCCTCTGATGACATGGATGACGAATCAAAGTTGGGCGGTTCTAAGCTGTTATAGTGTTGTTTGACACCAGGCCCAATCAACACTGGGAAAATAAGAGGCGCTCATTAAACTTTCTTAAGTGAAAGCTACAAAATATCTCATTCTAGGGAGAGGTAAAGGAAACCTGTGGTCATAAATCTTATAGTGATATAACAGTCAAATTGCTGAGATATTTAACTTAAATCTACCCACCGCCCCCCCCACCCCACAAAAAATGAAAAGAATAAATTCAAAGATAAATTTAATAATGAACATCACACTCCAAATGAAATGATGTTTAACTAAAAATTTGGACTGATACTTTCAATAGATGAAATTACTATTTCTGTGTTTTTTGTTTAAGTCTTAAGAAGAGTCTTTAAAAATAAATATGTATATGAACTTCTGTTATGGTACATCAAACTGATGTATTTATCTCAGTGTAAGTAGGCATTATTATTTAGCTCAATGTAAGTAAGCATTATTATTTAGCTCAATGTAAGTAAGCATTATTGCACATTTTAAATTTAAATAAAAGAGATATAGCCAAAATAAGACCCTTAGAAATGTACAAATTTTAAAGAGCAACAAACTAACTTAATTATCTCTTTTTAAAAAAAACTTCATGTTCAAACTTATCTGTCCACAGATAAGACACACATAAAACTCACTGTGACTCTCTTCATCCTCAAACATGGTCCAGTTGCCATTTTCCAGACCTTGCGGATGTTGTGGTAGTTGTGGATTTTGCGGAGGGTGTACTTGACTAGGACCCACCGAGGGGATGACCGAGTTTGGCAAAACCACAACTCTGGAGGGAACCACTGTGTCACTCAGAGCGACCGGGTTAACATGTCCACCCTCGCTGGTCATGGCACTGGGGTTGACAAGATGGCGTGAAGCATCCACACTATCTAAACTGCTGGTCATTGTTGTAGATGGTGGCAATGAGGAGGATAATGTTGCTAGATTTGTTAGCGAGTTCGCAAACACCATAGCAGGTGCTGTGTTCTGTTTCACAAGAGGCTTCTGATTGGCCGGAGATGTTGGTGGTGACTGTGTTGGAGAAAATGGGGGTGACTTGGAGTTGAGCGGAGAATCATCCCGTAAACTTGTCTGTGAAATAATGGAGTTTCAGTCGTTAAAATAGCTATTGTGAGCAGTAACTTAAACATAACACAGAAAAGGTTATTAGATGAACTCATTAAAGCTAGTTTTTCTATTACTGGTATAAAATTAATCTTAGCTCAGTAATAATAGGAATTTTAAAAATACATTTCTTTAAAAATTCATCAGTCTATTAAATAACACCTGGCAGATACGATGAATAGGAGAAGAAATTATTGAGGAGGTGAACAAAGCTATTGCACCACACATTTATTTCACAACTGTTCATAAGCTAAATTTTAAGATTTTTTTTTTTACTCACTTGGGAAGAAAATTGGCCTGACTGACTGGTCACCACTGAAGGAGCATCAGGCACAACACCTCTATACTGGCCTGACAGAGAACGACTGTGAGATTTTTTTGACCCAGGAGGAGGTGGGAGTTGTCCTGACAACTGAGAGTTTAATTTGCTGTCAATTAAATAAAATAAATGAGTTCAAGAATCTACTGCAGTACTGGAAAAAATTAATAATACTATCAAGTATATATACTTATACATATTATATATTGTGGCTTGAATGTGAGAAAACGCTGTGGACACTCCATTATAAATCATTATTTAACCTGATTCTGGCAATGCTTTGAATGGACTTGAATCTATTAAATTTTTAGATTGACCATGGCCATAAATAAACTTCACTTACAACCATCGAACATCAAAGCATATTTTTAAGTTCTAATAATCAATAAATTTTGGGGTAAGAAATCTGTGTTTGTTTAAATATATAAACAGTTAATACATATTGTTATGGACTGAATGATTCTACAATTAAAAACAACCAACAGGTACAGATGAGTAATCTTGTTAAGTGATGGTGTGGCTGAAAAAAGTATTAATTAAGTACCTTTAAAAGTCCTATTGATTAAAGAAAGGTATCAAGAAATCTAGTAAACCACAGTTAGATAAACTTGTACAATAACCTTTTCAAATATGTGCTTTAGTCCTGTCACCAAGTCTAGAGAGACTAAGTCAATCTCCATCTCCAAACATGTTGTGAGAATTCATTGATCTCTACATGGCTAGAAGATGACTGTCCCATCTCTGCATGTGTTACACTTAAGATCAATACAAGCCTCTACTTTTTCTACACTCAGCATTATACACACATAGAGCTTTGAAAAATTTGCTCTCCAGTTCAAAACATCAGAAATCAATATCACATAATAACAGCAGATTTTCTTTTGGAGAAGGGGGGAGTAGGTGGGGGTAAGCAAGGGAACATATTTTCCCATTATACAGATGATTATATATTACAGATTTTTTTAAAAGATAAATTGAAAATATGTTGTTTGAGATCTATTGGAATTAAACATATTTTGGATTTTTTGGGTTTTTTTTTTTTTTCACAAATAGATTTCAGAACTTTAGATCTAGTTTAAATAAAACACAGAAGGAAGAAAAAAAAAAATAGGGTAAGGAATTAGTTAAAAATTGTGACTATAACATCTAACACAATTCACTGTTTTACAGATTTTTTTAAAAGATAAATTGAAAATATGTTGTTTGAGATCTATTGGAATTAAACATATTTTGGATTTTTTGGGTTTTTTTTTTTTTCACAAATAGATTTCAGAACTTTAGATCTAGTTTAAATAAGACACAGAAGGAAGAAAAAAAAGAATAGGGTAAGGAATTAGTTAAAAATTGTGACTATAACATCTCACAACATTCACTGTAAACAGCTATGTACGGTAATAAAGTGGTCTGTGGTGGTTATGAAGTGCCTAGGGTTAGAGAGGTGACAACACCAAGTACACAGAGTTAAGTGCAAGTAAACAGCAGACCCTATTTGCAATGATGAGGAATGAGCAAACATTGGGTTTTTTTTTTTGGTCACCACCAAATAACATCACACCCAGCTTCATACTTTTTTTTTTTTTTTTTTGTTAAAGAAAAGACAAAAATTTAAAGTAAGTGTTTGCAAAAATGCATTTAGTTGCATTATATTCCAAAACAAACAAAAAAAAAAAAAAAAAAGAAAGAAAGAAAAGAAGAAAAAAACCTCCAATGGGTTTTAGATAATTATACAACTCCTCATCATATTCCATTAACTCATGCTGCATTTTTAAAAGTAAATTTATCCCCTGTTATAAATGAATGAACATTCATAATTTAATATTTCAAACTAGATTTCTGATATTTTATTTATTATCTATTGTGTAATGTGTCTACATATTTTCCTACTTTTCTGAGACTTCTGTACAAGTCAAACCCAAACATTTTCATTTCATTCCATCTGCACTGGACATCTTTTAAAATTCAGATTATTTAGAAATTATTGATGCTAAAAAAGCTAGACAAGCAAAATTGAATGCATGCATTGTCCTGCTAAAAAGCTATAGCCAGCTAAACAGAAGTAAATGTCAACCTGCCCATTTGCCTCTAGCTTACATTAGACATCTTAAAGCTAATCAGCCCGTGTGGAAACAATGTCAGCAACTGATATCTAGTTACTTTCCTTTAGGATATAGAGTTTCTTTGCCTATACACTATTTATCCATTACAATCACTAATTGTTTTTTTTACTGTTAACAATGTCATTAGCAGCCTTTCCTATTAATTTCCTTCTACAAAAGCCAATTAATGTAGGCTGGATTTTAAACAGACATTCCAAAGTGTTGCAAGGATAATGCCACTCCTTCACTTAAAGTAGTTTCACGTAAAAATAAATAATTAAACTTCTATTAAATGTTAGTTTTGTAATGAAATAATCACTCATAAGAACTGTAATAGGGTGTCTGAAAAATTATACTATACTTAAGTTCATTTAATTACACATTTGTTTAACGGTTTTTACTGGAAAGCTTATTCAGATTGATGAAGTGAAATGCGCCTCAACAGCAATTAAACTTTACTGAGCATTAGTTACTTATCATAAAGCATTGAACATTTCAAAACATGGCAGAATAATAATGTAAGTTTTCAAATGCTTAAAATTGTGAACTTTTTTGAATTTTTTATTTAAAAACATATCCCTTTTCAGCATTGAAAACATGACTTACTTTTAACAAACTTTTAACTGTTATTTGTAATACAAGGCTTTATAAAAAAAAATTCCTATTTCCAAACAAACCATAAAAAAGATTTTCCACTGAAAAAAAAAATTTTTTTAGAGTTATCTTACTCTTCTATAATATTTGATGATAAACTGATTATTTCTTTAGAGTTTTAAAAAAAATGTTTTTCTTTATTTTTCCTTTAATTTTTTTTTTTTCCCCACAATTAAAAACTATATAGCTATTTTTATAACCAGATTACTCAACCATGGCCATGACAACTCTATTACTATAATCAAAATGACCCTAAGAACCCTGGAAATAGTATAATTATATTCCAACTGCCCTTTTATTAAAAATCCAAATAATCATGACAACCCCCATTAAACCCTGATAACCTTAATACCATCATCCCCATAGCCAAGACAACGGTATGTTTTCATCTTTTAGCAAACAACCAGCTGACTTGATATGAAACAATCAACACCCCAGCAAACAACCAGTTGAACTGATATGAAACAAATTGTCAAAGAAAGTAAACTAAACATGCAAGGCCATGTGTACTATACATCTTGTGATGTTTTATATAGAAGCAACAAGGAAAAGACACCTCTAGCCATGTTTAAGGAAAAAACACCTCTAGCCATGTTAACACAAAATCTAACACTCACTTTTCAGGTCCAACACTGTCTGGTTCCCCTGAAGACTTTTTCCTGTCTGACACCACTGCAATGATACAAGAAAGAAACATTGATGCAACAGCTGTAGCCTAAAATGAACAAATACAGCATTCCAATAGCCAACAGCACACATGGTATGTACTAGCTCAGCTGTCACACTAAAGCACAGTAGTTGGGACCAAACTTGAGGAAATGATCACATAGCTTGCTCTTTAGAACAGGTTGTGAAATCAAAGCCACTAAACATTAAAGAGTCAAGAACGTGAATAAATTTAACATTCTAAGAAACATTTCAGAATATCATTTTACATTTATTACTATTCATGTACTAAACATGAAGAAAATTGAATTGCAAAATAAGCTTACAAATACAATATAATAACTCTGTAGAATTTTTTTAATACAATTTTGTTTTCAATCAGATGGTTTGAGAATGAAAATGATTTTTTGTTCAAAAATCTTTATTTTATGGATCAATAAATTAAATAACAATAGGTTTGTCAATTAATAAACAAATTTGAAATAAATCACTCCTTAGACTAGCCTTTAAACCCTATTGTCACACCTCAATACATGTACACTGTATGACAACTAAATATACTGAAACATACACACCAACACACTAACACTGCCTCACATCTCTATATACTGATATCAATACCATAACACTGTCACAACAAAATACAATTATATTCTAATACTAACAAATCCAGCAAAATTAATGTTAACAATTAACTTCACAACCTCTTGAATCAAACTTAGACAAGAGCTACCCCAGGGACATGGTCACATCTCAATACACACATTGTGACAATACAAATCCTGGTTGATGTTAGTAAACCATCAACAGAGCTGGATCAGTGAATGTGTAGATATGCTACACCCAAGTGGGATGGTAAATGGTTGGCTTACTATTTGTACTGAGGAAATTGGGTCATGGTATAACACTTCAAGGGTCAGAGGTTAGTTAGAGTGTCTGGGATGTGGTCCAATCAATCTCACTTAATGCCCTGGTTAATGATGCTTGGTTCAAGGATTGCTTTGGTCACAAGTTCATGTGTTTCCCCCACCACTAGAAAATGGCAACACAAAAGGTGAGCACAGTTAAATTATCATTTAGTGCACCTGCGGTCCACACCCACTAGCTGGTGGAATTAAACCCAAAACATTTTGTATTTCATGGAGTAGCAGATTATTGAAACAAATATTGAATGGAACTGAAATTTTTAACTCATAAAATACATTTTAAAAAAGTTATCATTCTTAATAAATTGGGAACAGAAAAGTTCAGATTCCACTAACCAATATTCTCACTAACTTCTCCTGTTCACCCAGTCACACATTTAGGAAAATAGTAATACACTTATAGAAAAAAAACAATACATTTTTCAGAGGAAAGATAAGGAAGGGAGAAACTTGTGAAATTTACAAAAAAATTAGTGTCAGCATATAATCCATGTGATATTGATTGGTTTTGTATCCAGAATATAAATGTTTGATCTGACAGGGACCTGTCTGGACCTCATGATCAAGGAAGGATTGTGGTTCCATACAAATAAACATGATAAATGATAGTTTATTTATGGCTGACTTTCCAGTTAGCCAATTATATTTCACTAGCTTACCTTGATCATTTCCTTTAGAAGAAAACTTTGGCAGTGGAACCTCTTTCCCTGAAATGTAGAATAAAATCATGATGAATATTTCACCTGATGCTCATACAAAATTTTACTAGCACAAGAAATGACAGATAGACAAGTTAGATCACTGACTTGTGATGGGAAATATGTCGTGATATCCTTCGTATTACATTTTTTAAAAATTTCAAATTAGCTGTTTAATTTCTCGCACATAAATTATGTCCATGTATAAAAGTACAGTTCAGTACCATAAAACTAAACAGATATTACATGAGTGTCAATTTTATATTGACTTAGAGCAGTTGTGGTCCAATCCCATTTGGACCTCCTGAACTAAGGTAGAACTTAACAACTATATCCAACCTGTAACTCTGGACTAAATACAAAATATCAATTCAACAGAAATACAAGTATTTTTTAAGGCTATCAAGTGGACTTTCAATCACTTGGATGATTCTCAACACAGCAAACATTGGACATTTGAAATAAAACTACAATCAACCGCCTAGCATCAAGAAAATAATAGAAACAGGGGAAAATTTTTATTATTCCATATCTGGAAATGTCCAACCTGTGAACCACACACCACTGTTAGATGTTTCAAACTAATTCTGCTTGTTTAACTCATTAGTAAGAAGGGGGAAAAAAACAGAGCTAATAATGGCTAATATAGACAACTTCAAATTACATCCTCATTCAATTAATCACACACTAAAAACTAGAGGAAGAGGCTTCCCAAATATTAAACAACTGCACACACATCCATATACATGTCACTGTAGTACCTACTTGACTTAGGTTCCAAACCATGTAAAAACAAAGTATATTGCCACTGTCACCCCTGTGTATCCCACATCTGATTCTAAAAGATTAAGGAACAAAGGGGGGCATTCCCCAAACCAGTACATTAATGCTGATGCAATTTAAAACCCTTCCACTAATGTGTTTCTATCATTTATTCACTGCTGATGTGACTTGGCAAACTGGTTACTAAAGGTGAAATAACTCTATTACAGATGTGTTTGCAGAAGTATAATTACTGATGTCAGACTAAACTGGTGTGCATCTCCACCTCCACCCACCATCTCTTTCTGTTCATCCTGATTGTTAGTGCCATTTCTGCCCTTTTTTACCCACCCTCCCAGTCTGGAGCTCTGTGCCCTGTTCTTTCTTCTTACACCCCCCCACCCCCCCTTAGTGACTACCCAACCACTGCCATCTCTTAGTGGGTGAACAATAAATAGGGAAAACTATTATTAGCAATTAATTGAGCATAGAAAAAAAATATTTCCCCACTCAATACACAAGCTTAATAATGCATTCGGTATGTTATATAAAACACGTTGCAAGTTGGGTCTTTTAACATTGAAGTCATGTTTAAAATTTTTAATTTCTCACAAGAGGAGGCTTATTGACGAGCTGTCTCGGTGGCATTCGGTGTACAAAATGAAACTATCCGACTTTGAAAGAAGAGGATACAAAACCTGGAAAGTGGCCGGAGGCCTCAAAAAGTCACGTGACGGCTCTGCTTATCAAATAGTATACGTAGATGTTTTCTCTTTTCTTTGTCAAGCCTAAACATATCTTGTCCCACTACTTCAGGAGTCCTCAAACTAAGACCCACAGGCCAGATCAGGGCCGCCAGGTGTCCTCAACCCAGCCCGCATGGCCGCCGTACGGGTACCCGGGTAGCAGTGACAAATATGGAAACGGATAGTGCTGATCTATTTTGTCAAAAGTCAGGCCCATACTTCCCATTGAAATACAACAAAAATTGATCTTGTTTAAAAGGGTTCTTCCTTTTTCAAATTGTATTGTTTTTCCACCACATTCGACATATGTGCCTTGTGCATAGGAATTTGTTCATATTATTTTCAAACAATAGTCCGACCCCGAACAGTGTCTGAGAGACAGTGAACCGGGCCCCCAAGAGTCTAAGGCAGTGGTTCTCAACCTTCCTAATGCCACGACCCTTTAATACAGTTCCTCATGTTGTGACGACCCCCAGCCACAAAATTATTTTCGTTGCTACTTAGTAACTGTTGAGCATATGTGTTTTCAGATGGTCTTAGGCGACCCCTGGGAAAGGGTCGTGCGACCCCCAGGCTGAGAACCGCTGGTCTAATGGGCACCGAAATGATCCTTAATTTTAAAAAAGTTTGAGGACCCATGCAATATTTATTTAGAACAAGACACCCAAAGAAAGAAACAATCGGCGTTCACCAATAATAATATTTGTTAGAATCCTGGGTTTTCAAATCCTGATAACCAACAGTCCTATAATGCGATAACTCAATTTATCACCTTTTGCAATATTGATTAGGTTGGTCGAGTTTCTGTGGATGAAACTCGATATCATGAAAACAGCCCAGTGCCATTCCTAGGGTCGCCTCCACACCAGCGAGTCTGTGCTAAAACAGTTCACTGAGAGCTCCCAAATATAGGAACTCGATCGTTACTGTAATCAAGTGGGCTACACCAGTTGATGGCAACGGGTCTCACGCCACAGGCCAAGTCACGAAAAATCTTTTAGTATTTTTTATTTATTTTTTTAGGTTGGAGGGGATCCAGCATCTCCATACAGCCCCGACCAATGTTCTTCTATGGTCCAGTATTATATTCAATAAACGGGCCTGTCAAAGGGATACAATTTAATGTATATAATTGGTAAGTAATTTGCCTGCACACATACAGCCATGTCTTGCCTTTAAATGTATCATAAATAATACCAGCATTGTCTGTTTACTTATTACACTGTAGAGGACCAGTACAAGTCTGTTCTTCGTGTAATCTGCATTGATTTTTATTACTGTAATTACTTATATTTACAATATCGTGGACAGTGGTTTGTTTATAAAGTAAGTTATGCATTGCACTTCACATGGCCCATACCATACATTGCACTTCACATGGCCCATAACATACATTGCACTTCACATGGCACATACCATACATTGCACTTCACATGGCCCATACCATACATTGCACTTTACATTGTCCATATTATACACTACACTTCACATGCCCCCATACCCTACATTGCACTTCACATGACCCATATACATTACACTTCACATGCCCCATACCATACATTGCACTTCACATGGCCCATACCATACATTGCACTTCACATGGCTCATACCATGCATTGCACTTCACATTGTCCATATTATACACTACACTTCACATGCCCCCATACCCTACATTGCACTTCACATGACCCATACACATTACACTTCACATGGCCCATACCATACATTGCACTTCACATGGCCCATACCATACATTGCACTTCACATGACCCATATACATTGTACTTCACATGACCCATATACATTACACTTCACATGGCCCATACTATACATTACATTTCACATGTCCCATACCATACATTGCACTTCACATGGCCCATACCACACATTGCACTTCACATGGCCCATACCATACATTGCACTTCACATGGCCCATACTATACATTGCACTTCACATTGTCCATACTATACATTACAATTCACATGGCCCATACCATACATTGCACTTCTCATGGCCCATACCATACATTGCACTTCTTGTGGCCAATGCTATCCATTGCACTTCAGATGGTCTATGATATCCACTGCACTTCATATGGCCAATACAATCCATTGCACTTCTCGTGCCCAATGCTATCCGTTTCACGTCATATGGCCAATACTATCCATTACACTTCTCGTTTCCTTCACTATCCATTGCACGTCATACGGCCAATGTTATCCATTGCACTTCATATGGCCAATACTATTCATTGCACTTCTCATGGCCAATGCTATCCATTACACGTCATATATCCAATGCTATCCATTACACGTCATATGGCCCATACTATGCATTACACTTGGCCAACACTATCATTTCTCACCAAGCATGCCTAAGCTACGGGAGTTCTTTAAATTTAAAAATAGCATTCTACATTACTCAGTTTGAGAACTGTTAGTTGTGGCCTTGTGGGTGATGGGGCTACCCAGTATGGGGAGGTGGGGGTGAGAGAGAGAGAGAGCACCATAATAGCGACCATGTAGAGACTGAGTGAGACGATAGCGGGCTGAGACTAGTTATAGATAAAACAGAAAGGGCGGTTACACAACCAGGCTCAGAACAGTGGAGGCCAGGTCGCCCCGCGGTGACTTAAGGGGGGTAATGCACACATAACGAAACTTTAAAAAGAAAACTCAAAACCTACAGGGATTACTTGCCCATAATGAAAGAGAGACCGAGGATAGTCTTAGCGTGGAAGATATCACGTCACCAACTTTTAGTAAGACATGGAATTATTTTGCTCTCATCCTATCCCAAATAGACTTAACTTTCGTGACGTTAAATGCTAAGTGCGTATCACAGATCGGTAATGATTGTTTTCCCACTTCCCAGCCAAGCATTAACCTTAGAATATTTGTGAAAGTTGAATGACACACACACACACACACGCAGAGAGCGCCATGTAATATTAGACAGAGCAGTGCACAGGGATGAGTAAAGTGGGTGGACGAAAGAGAGACCTGGGCAGGGAGGCCTGAGGGGAGAGAGGCATGGGGAACCAGGAGGGCGCGTGAGGATTTAAGGAGGCGTGAGGAGAGTAGCTTTGAGAGGTGACGCGGAGAGAAGGCGTGCGAAGAGTGGCGCGGAGAGAAGGCGTGCGAAGAGTGGCGCGGAGAGAAGGCGTGCGAAGAGTGGCGCGGAGAGAAGGCGTGCGAAGAGTGGCGCGGAGAGAAGGCGTGCGAAGAGTGGCGCGGAGAGAAGGCGTGCGAAGAGTGGCGCGGAGAGAAGGCGTGCGAAGAGTGGCGCGGAGAGAAGGCGCGTGGAGAGAGCCTGCCACAGACAAATAAATGTAATCTGTGTGGAATAATGTACATGTAGTCAGACAAATGCTGACAGATTAGGGGCGGGAGAGGGTGGAGGTATTACATGTCAGTATATGCCGTCTTACGGGCTTTCTGATACCTGGGAAAAGTAAACGGTCTGCTTTGCGTGAGGGGAAACTTTGCAGGTAAAAAAGATAGAGAGAGAGAGGGGGAATGGGGGGGAGTAGACAGACATGGGTATTTTTTAAAAGGCATTTAACTGGCTTCCTGTTTTCTTGCAAATAAGGGGTAGGGACTGAAATCAGTTTAGCAAAAAAAAAGAAATGTGTGAAACAAAGTATGGGAAAACCTGACAAAAAAAGGAAATCAACAAAACAACAAATGTGCCGGCAAAATGCCTTCATCAGAGAACAAACAACAATCAAAACAGAATTTAAAAAAAAATAACACTTAGCTGAAATGTAGTATCCGAGAGGGCAGCAAGAGATTTGTTATACTCTCTGCATGCGTTCTCTCCACTCCACTCTCCTTGCGCTTCCTCTCACAATTTTCACTAATCAAGGTCCATTCAAACTCACACAAAGTACAGGCAATGTTACAAACAAAAGAAAAAATTGTTTCATTTTGTAAACTGATTATTACTGCTTGAGCAGCAAGGTAACAAACTATTGAAAGTGGCGGCTTCTACTCTTAGTTGCCCGAATCACAAATGTATAGCGGTCATTGAAAATAAAGATTATATCTACTCACCAGAGTTTAAAGTATCCAACTTGACAGGCTGCCCTGACTGAGCCAGTGCAACTAATTTCAGGGCAATGTAAAATTGACTGCGTCCAAAATGACCCAACCTTTTTGCCCCACATAGTTCAGTTATCTGTAAAAAGATTAATTTGTTGAATATTGGGCCAAGCTGTCAGAGGTGATTTTCATCATAAAAATATAATTTTGGGTAATTGACACAAAAAATAATTTCACTTTGCATCCAGTATAAATGAAAAACGCCATTTAATGTGCTTCGATTGAACTATACATGGTTTACGTCGAAAGGTGGTAAATTATAAAACTATAGCATTTATAAAAATATATTAAGCATAATAGTAAAAATAATAAATTTTGGAGTTGTAACTGACATAACATAGAAAAGACATAATATTTGAGTTAGCATCTTTTTTGTGGATTTCCTCTGAAATCTGCATTCATTGAAATATATTTTCCAAATGAATTATCTACAGTGTTTCCTATTGTAAGGAAAACCTTTAAAAACTACTCAGAAAGCATACTTTTTAAAAAAACACAGACAAAATAATGTAATTGACGTAACATGACTTTGTAACTGACATGTATGAATGCAAGCAATCAAAAACAGAACAACAATGTCAATTCTCTTACAAAATTACAAATTTTTCACTGTAGCAGTTGTTGTTGTTCGTCCGTCAAAATCAACTAGGACCATAGAGTCATCCAGTTGGGGGGAGGGTGGGTTACGGTGAGCTCGTAGGTGGCTTGTTAGACCGATCCTTGCTCGGAATAATCTCTCGCACCGCGGGCAGGGGATAGCTGCTGCAGTCGGTGATCTAATGTTGCTCTTTTGTACTAGCCTGCGTGTCTCACCTGCGGTTATCCTACGGGCTTCATGAGATTTATCCCCTTTCTTGACAGCTGCTCTCCACCTGGCTCTGTCCTGGGCTGTCTGACCCATTGAGTACGGTTGATGCTGAAGGCCTTTAGTGCCGCTTTTAGTGAGTCTTTGTAACGCTTTTTTTGACCTCCTTGAGAGCGCTAGCCTATTGTGAGTTCTCCGAAGAATATCTGTTTTGGGAGCCAGTGGTCTTCCATACGGAGTTGAGACTGCATCAGGGTGGTGAAGATACTAGGAAGGTTTGCTCTAGCGAGGACCTTTTTGTCTTGTTACCTGATGCCGAGCGGTTTCCTGAGGCAGGTTATGTGAAAATGGTTCAGTTTCTTGGCGTGACGCTGGCAGACTGTCCACATTTCACATCCATATAGCAATGTCGAGAGAACTGCTGCACTATAGACCTAGATCTTTGTTTCTCGTCTAATACCTCTCCTGTCCCAAACAGTGCTGCTGACCCTGCCAAATATGGCACTAGCTTTTGCGAGTCTGGCATTCATTTCATCATCTGTAATGACAGATCTAGAGAGGGTGCTGCCCAAGTAAGTAAATTTATCCACCGCGTTGAGACGCTGTCAGCTGATGATGATATTGGGTTCAACGAAGGGCTTACTGGGAGCTGGCTGATACATCACCTCAGTCTTCTTTGAGTTGATTATGAGGCCAAAGTTATTGCAGGCCTCAGAGAAGACATCAACGCTGTGTTGCATGACGGCTTCTGAGGCAGCGTTGAGGGCACAATGGTCCGCAAACAGAAGCTCCGTAATGGGTTATGTTTGACCTTGGTTTTAGCTTGAAGCCTCCTAAGGTTGAAGACTGATCCGACAGTGCAAAACTGGATAGGCAAGCCCGTGATGGAGTCCTTGAACACATAAGACTACATTGCAGAATACATAATACTGAAGAGTGTGGGAGCCAGGATACAGCCATGCTTCACACCGTTTGTGACGGGGAATGCTTGAGATGACTGGCTGTTGTCCTGCACTCACGCCATCATGCTGCTGATGGATGATGCTGGTGAACTTGTCTGGGCATCCGTACTTCTATATGATTTTCCACGGCCACCTCTACTGACCCTGTCAAAAGCCTTATTAAAGTTGATAAATGTGGAATATAGGTCTGTATTTTGCTCCTAACCTTTCTCTTGAAGCTGCTTGGCAGCAAACACCATATTGATAGTTCCACGTTTTTTGTAGCAATTAAATACACATAAATTAGAGTGTTTCAATGCTTGTCTACAAAAATTGTCAATATAAATTTATAAGACATAAATACAATAATCAACAAAATTTCTATTAAACTGTGAAGACAATATGTTCTTAATTCAAAATGGCCACCAGGTCATGTGTCAAACAAAACAAAGATACTGAAAATTTCTCCATAAAAAGATGCATGAAAAAAAAATATAGCACCAAATTTTATGCTATTAAATTTTTCGATGGTGTGTCCACTTTTTCGTGAAATTCAACAAGAATACAAATACTATAATCATGGGAAAAACTAGGAAACCATATCACTGAGGAATCAAAATTAAAAGAAGATGATTTCTAAATTAATAACATTTTTTTCTACTTAAAATGTGACTTATTTCCTTTTTGTAAAATCTGTAAGCATTATACAAAATATATTGATGTATTTTAGCAAAGAAATAGTGCACATAAATTTTCAGGCATAAGAATGTCACAGTAAAATTTTTTATCGGCTCTGAAACCAATTATCCAGTTTTGCTTTTAAAAAGCAATAATCCATTATTATTATCATTCATTTTAATTTTGAAGTGTACCATAGAAACAAAGTTAATAAGGGTCACTTTTTAAAGTGTTTTTCCATGCCTGACATTCTTCGCAGTTCAAGAGAGATCATAAATTAAATAATGACATATTTATGTTTTAAAAATACAAATAATGACTTTTATAGCCATTTGTTTCCAGAAAAAAATAATTTGAAATATTTTACTTCCCCATAACTTAATTTCAGTTGGGTTTTTGTGCTTTTAAATCATGATTTGGGGAGTATAAAGAAAAACATAATTTCCAATACGCTTAGGACAGTAGCTATCAACCATGTCAAGGGTCGCCTGAAAACATGTCTGGGGTCAATTGACAACCTCAGAGGTATTTTTAAATGTTTCTTCTATCTTATTTATATCATCTTTCAATTAACCCTTAATTTAGATATTTTCTTAATGTCACTAAACTGTGAACAGTAATTTGGTATTTTTCTGCTCCCTTACTTCTGAACACTTGTTTCTTAACTTCTTGGCATAGTCCTTTCTATGGGATAGCACAAATTGTCATGGCTCTAAAAAAGTTTCAGAACCACTGCTCCGGTGCATACTATTGTCAATGTTGACAATTTAGGTTTAAAAATTAATTTTTTTTTTTTAATTCAATTTCAATTTTTTTTTGTATGTCTGCAAATTATATAACAGAATGTAGTTCATGTTCATTTATTTGTAAGTTTTGTTTGATTAATTAGTTCGTAAACATATATGTCAACAGTAATCATAGCCATAGAAGAATATTTAAATTAACTTTTTTTTATTAGCCACAAATTAAAAGATGGGTATTATTGCAGTTAGTTAACAGCAGTCAGAATAGTGTTATATGTTAAAAAGAGGTTGCTGTCATTGACGGTTGGGCCCAGAGTGTAATGGGGGAAAAGACAAAAGAGTGATCCGTCCACCTGAAAAATAAAAACCTTGAGATTGGCTGGCTGATCTTCGTACCAGCTAATCAGATGGCTTCTCGCATTCTTGCTCATCTCGCCATTTCAATGGCAGCTTTCATCGATAGTTAACGTTGTTTAGTCATTTCATATCAATTTTCTTTATAGTACCTAGTGACCCCTATATAATTTGTAAAAAAAATATGTGACCTTGAAATATGCCAAAATGCTTATTAAGTCCCAGGGGTTTATTTTACGTTGATTTTATATTTGTAAAGTAATTAGTTTATGTTTTAAATTTTTTTTTTTGCAAATTAAGTGCATGGCTCCATACAGGGCTTCATCTTCTTTGCACAGACAGTTCAAAACTTAAATAGGGCTTCATTTCAAGAGGGTTAATTCTAATGTAGCCAGCAAGGCAAAGGTTTTGATGGAAACTATATATAGTTATATGTTTAAGTTAAAGACTCATTGGGGGTGTCATCACCATCAATCCTGTATGTATTATTATTATTATTAGGTGGTTTTATATAGCGCAGTACCCCAGCCTAGGGCTAGGCTCACGGTGCTTCACATAAAAATTAGCAATTACAGTTAAAGAAACGTATAAGTTTTATAATTTTAAACAATTTGTGAAAAGCTTGACCTCACCCACCCAAATTACTTTAACGTTAGTAGACATAATATACTAATAATATTGGTATCAGGCACTCAGTGTATATTGTTTTTGTTGTTTTTTGTTGTAGTTATAATATTATTTGTCTTCTTTATTATTTATTAATTTTAGTGGCAGTGGGGTCTAGTCAATAATAGAGGGCAGGGGCCTTTACAATTAAAAAGTGAGCACAGAAAAAACAATAAAAATTTCCGTTATTTATTTTCAAAACATGGTATATTTTTACCTGCTTTAAAATCTCTGGATTCAATCCTGATGCAAGAAAAAGTTCCGATGCTTTTGGGCCTGTTATTTTTCCACTTCCTTCTACATCACAGGCCTGAAATAATTCAGCATAATATTGCTGCTCCCGAGAACCTAATTTTATTCCCTCCATAATTATCGAAAACTAAACAATCCAACTATGTGAATTATTCACTATAGGGAGAATGGTATAAACTGTCAATGAGCAGAGATGCCCATCATCTCAATAAATAACGTCTAAGTTGTATGTGTTTAGGATGTAAATTAGTCAATCCTCCATCTTTATTTATGTATAAGGCTATATTAAAAACATGCAATGAATTTCTTAATGCATGATAAATTGCAACCTTTCCTTTATGAATAATTATAAATCAAATGAATTTTAAAAATATATTTAATTTTTTTTTAAATAAAAACTAGCACAACAGACAAATCGAAAGCTTTTACGGATATGTTACATTTATGTATGCATTTGTTTCGGTGTGAACGTGCTCAGTTAAAGAACAACAATTCAATTAAAATTAATGTTACATATAAACATTTTTTCAAATATATATTAATTTGAAAACGCTATCCATTTTAGAATAATTAATAACATTATTTTTATGTTTTAATCGTTTAAGTAATTTTAATAATCAAAATATAATGTTTGCTTTAAGCCTTTAGATGTCCGTTCATTTTTTATTTTAATTTAATAAAATTAAGTTTGAGTCTGGCCATGATGGTATTTCCATATACGTCGGGTACAATTCTAATTAATAATAATAATGTTTTACTTAGTTATTTAAAGCCTAAGCGTTTATTATAACTTTTTTTTAAAATCATGATTGCACTTCATATATAATATATCTGTTTTAGCATTAAAACAGGCGGCTGGCTAACAGGCCTATTTGATTGCTAGGCCACCAACTTAAAACGTTTGCCCAAGGCCGAGGCAACCCAGTAAATCACTCGAGGCCCAGGCAGCATGGTAGCCCCTAAGGGCAGATTTGTTAAATGATATAATTATATAAACATGTGTTTTATAATATATAAATTATAATATATGCTTGGTTGTTTTTTTTTGTTTTGTTTTTGTGTGGGTTTTTTGGGGGTACAGTTTCAATTACGTTTGATACACTTCTTTTGAAATGTGTGAGAGCTCAAAAATTGGATTTACTCTGAGCCCAAAACACCTCTGCACGGGCCTGCGTTAGTCAAAAATTGTGTTAAATCCCTGTCATTTAATAGGCTCCGTCTTTTTTTTTTTTTTTCGGGTGTCGATGAAACGCATGGCTGCGGTAAAGCAAGATGGTTAAAAAAAATGGATGCGGTATAGAGTAAACAAATCTATAAATAAAAATCTCCGTATTTGAATTGAGCTTTCATCTGAGAAGCACCGTTGATCTACAGAGAGAAAGCAATGAATACAACTTGGATTTTAAAAAAAAGCTTTTAAATGGAATAGCCTAGATAGATACATGTGGTAGGCTATTTTGTGCAAAATTCACATATGTATGTCTTCGGATTTTAATAGACTATATGAAGAAATTATAGTGCCGTCGGGCTCACAAAATTAGGTATAGGCAATATAGACATCAAATAGCTATAGATGTGATGAGTTGTTTGCTGTTTAAAGTATAAAAACTCTATAAAAATACAGAGGTAGATAAGACTATCTATATAGTCGAATGGGCTTGGTTGCTCCTTTTCCAAATATGTAATTTGCTAATGTGGCAATGTAAGTTGTGACAACATTCCTAATAGCAGTTGCGAGAGCTGAGCGAACCTTTTCAAAACTCAAACTTGTAATATATTTGTTCCACATTGCCTTACGATAGTTTGATTGGTTTGGCAAACGGTATCCACTGAAAGAACGACTGCAGAAGAGTTTGATATGACCGAAATAGTTGGTCAGGATTTTGTTTTTGCTAATTGCTAAGGCGAGAAAATCGTAGGTTTCGGGAAATAAACTGTTAATTAATAAACACTCTTAAATTTTTTATAAACTTGCCATTACAGGCTTTTTTTATTTTATTTGTTTCCGTAGCCTACTTATTTATAAGTGCTCTCAAAAAGCAAAAAAAAACTAGGTTTGTCGTGAAATTAAATATTAGATAAACAATCATCAATCATTACAATACTTGTCTCTTACGAATTTGAGTTTAAGTGAAGTTTTGCGATAGAATCCAAATATTAATTGATCATTTTCATCGTTGGATTTGTTCTTTAGAAAAAAATGATAGAACACTCAGTTTGTTATAGAAAACTGAAAAATAGTGAAAATAGATGACACTTCAACATATATGATTATTAAGGTGCGGCATTTTGTGTTCTTGCCTATGCAGGTAGCAAAAACTTGCTACAAAGTACCGTATTTTCGCGCATATAAGACGCACCCATATATAAGACGCGTGTTTTGACAATTTGTGTAAACAAAACACTACATAAGACGCACGCGGTCTAGCCATCTGCCGCACTGAGCAATTTGTATCCAGTGGCTTCCTTTCCTTTATCACAAATGAAAATTTGTCCAATGTTTATCATCCGTGGGGATGTAAACAAGGCTTTCTTTACCATTTGTAGTTTACCGGTAGATCAAAGAATTGTCTGAGACAGGACCGCAACGATTATTGTTTATTCTTATCTGCCGCCGGGCCAATAGCGAATGGGTTGAGTGCCTGGTATTTAGATTCTAGAAACAATAAACGCCAGATGTAAAGGCGGCTTCATTGATCGGCTGGGCCAAGTCCAAGTCTTCAGCGAGTGGGATTAGTACCGAACATCGACCAATAAATGCCCGATGTATGCGGTTAGCATATATAAACGTGTGAATAGTCTCTTGTTAACGATATATATAAATGCGGGATCAATTTGCTTAGCATTAAAAAAAAATAATTTAATTGTGGCGATGCTGAAGCGAAAATCCTATAAGGCTGACTTTAAATTAGACGTCATCAAGTTTGCCAAGGAGCGTGACAACCAGTGATTATTTCAGAAATTTTCCCCCGGGGGGACTTCAGATTTTTCCGGTAGGGGGGGGGGGCAGTGCCAGCAGTCCCAGTTGGTTTATTGTTGGACATATTTTTGCTTCGNCCCCCCCCCCCCGGAGATATAGCTGAAAGAAACCCTGGTGACAACAGAGCTGCTGGAAGAGAATTTGGCTTCAGCGAGAAAAATGTACGTGATTAGAGGTAGGATGAAGAGGAGATTTCGAAGATGAATCCAAGGAAACGAGCTCGTAGAGGTAGAAATGCAAGATGGCCGAATTCGGAAGAAAATCTAGCCAACTGGGTGCGTTCGCAACGAGACAGTAACCATGTCTTTCAACGATAGCGATCAAATTGAAGGCTCGAATTATTGCTATAGAAATGAAGATCACAGACTTTGGCAGCAGAGTCAACTGGGTTTTCAAGTTCATGAAACGGAAGAAGCTTGCAGTCCGGTCACGTACACCTGTTGGACAGAGGCTTCCTGACGATTGGGAGAATAAATTTGATGTTTTCCACTATACCTTTAATTGTTCAGAATGAAATAAGTGAACTGAAGTTGGCCGATGGTGACATCATCAATATGGATGAGATTCCAATGTATTTCGATGTTTCAGCTACTAGTTACTAGATCAGTGGCTGATAAAGGAGTGAAGGCAGTCGCCTATTGATACCGCCGGACATGAACGAACCAACTTCACTGGTGTATTGGCCTGCACTGCTGCAGGGGGAAAACTCAAACCCATGGTTAGCTTTAAAAAGATAACCATGCCAAGAGAAACGTTGCCAGCTGGAGTCGTTGTTGTCTGCAACAACAAGGGCTGGATGAACACAGAAGTGATGCAGAACTGGACTAACAAATGCTTCAGAACAAGAATATTATAGGCAGATTTTTTAAAAGAAGAAATCTCTTCTGATTTTTTGTGCAATGGCTGCCCATAATTTGACAACTGTGCAGAAGCACGTCAACAAAGCCGGAGCCCACATAGCCGTTATCCCCGATGGCCTGACTTGCAAGCGACATCCCTTGGATGTCACCGTCAATCACAAAGACTTTTGTTCGTGAGGAATGGGATCGTTGGATGAGTAGCGGTAGACCCACATTCACGCCAACTGGTCGACAGCGTCGTGCACCGTATACGTAGAGGTATGTCATTGGGTTCTTCGGGCATGGGAGAAAGTGAACATTACGACAATCATCAATGGCTTCAGAAAGTGCGGGATAATTCCCGAATCGGACAGCTATATCAGTTCTTCGGGCGATGACGCAGCTGCTTCCGATACCACTGACGGCAATGAGGATCGATTAGCATCAGTTATGGAGTTATTCCGCGACGACGACAGTGAATTTGATTCAAGTTTCAGTGGATTTAAAGCCAAAACTGCTGACGATGATAATGAAGGTGAATAGAACAATACGGTATACATAGATTTTTTGATCAAGTCAAACACTATTTGGTAGCAGTTTATTATATTGTGTTTAATAACAAATTTAAATATATGTTTGTAACTGATTTTCATATTTAATTCCAATATATTGAACAAATTCTTGTCTTGTTTTCGAATGCAACCACCAAAGATACTAAAAATTTAAGTATCTTTGAACCCAACCGGATGTATAGGTAATATAGCCGCCGCAGTTTTTGCCGTGATAATTAGTAACAATAATCAAAACTATTTAAACATAGACATACAATATTATATTTTTAAAACATTTACTCCGACTAAACTTAGATCTGCAATAATTACGGTACGGTATACAAACCATTGAAACGAAAGGATTTAAAATTTGAAGTGGCCTGCATTGGATTGGTACACGTGGTAATTACTGAACACTTACCCAATTGTTTTTTTCAACTAGGCATCAAAATCGTGAAACATGAATATCGACCGCAGTCACTGCCCTTCCATATCACACACTGGACCGTTCGTTCGTGTTAAAAAAATACTTACCGTATTTTCGCGCATATAAGACACATCTAATTGTAAGACGCACCCATATTTAAGACGCGGGTTTTGGCGATTTGTGTAAAAAAAATATTAGACATAAGACGCACACATGCATAAGACGCACCCATACATAAGACGAACTCCGCCGTAGCCGGTCCCAAGCCCGGGTGAGAAAGGAGGAGGGTTGGGCGAAGGGCTAGCAACCCTTCCCTGTAAAAAAAGCCCTGCTACAAAAACACAAAGAAAGATTTCAAAAGGAAACTCGGACCTTGGAAAGGATGGGTCTCCTAACAGAGAATTAATGAAGCTGGGTGGCCAAAGCCAACTGGAAACCAACCGGCGGACAACCATCCTCTCCACTAGGACCACCACCAGTCTAGGAAC